AGCGGATGAAGAGCGGGACCCCAAACCCTAAACCCTAAACCCTACACCCTAAAACCTTGGGACGTCAAACAGGAAGCAAAATTTGGGGGTGTCGGAGCTAGGTATTGGAGCGCAAACATGAAGCGTGCCCGAGATGGTCGGATAGATTTGAGCGAAGAAGCCTCCTGTAGCGCAACGAAAGGTGCCCTAAACCCTAAACCCTAAACCCTAAACCCTACACCCTAAACCCTAAACCCTAAACCCTAAACCCCCGGAAATTCGCCCTTCAAGGTTGATCGTGGGAGAGCGGATGTCGAAACCGTGAGGGCTCTTCAGGCACGCGAGGCTGTCACAAAGTTGAGTCTGGATTTTGGCATGGTTTGACCCTAAACCCCAAACCCCAAACCCTAAACTCTAAACATCCCTGAACCCTTTTGGCTTTTGAGTTTCCACTTCGTTCAGGCTGGGTTCTAAGCGAAGGAAGCTAAAGCCAACGCTGGGACATGCTGGGTCTCAGCGCATCAAGCCGTGTCCACGCTGCCCCACAACTCTCAGCCATGGCGTTTTCTCCGGACAGCAAAGTACTTGGGTGGTGGTCTGGACCTTGCATGATCCGAAGTCCACCTAAACCCTAAACCCTAAACCCTGAACCCTAAACCCATGTCCTACTACATGTTGTAAGTTGTACCTCCTCTGGCCTTGTGGGTCTAGCACTAGCAGCCTTGCAGGCAAGGCTGTGCAGAACCCCAAACCCTAAACCCTAAACCCTAAACCCTGAACCCTAAACCCTAAACCCTAAACCCTAAACCCTAAACCCTAAACCCTAAACCCTAAACCCTAAACCAAAGTTGCATGACCCCGAAGCCCTACGTGAACGGCACAACTCCAAATCACAAGCGTCCTAGCTCTCTGCCTCCAGACCCCCAAACAAAGGTATTCACCTAATAAGAAGACATGCCTGCCACCCCCCACTGCACGATGCATGCTCTTGGCGTGGGCCCAAACATTGGAACACTTGACTCACTTGACTAATGCCTGCAACCCTAAACCCTAAACCCTAAACCCTAAACCCTAAACCCTAAACCCTAAACGTCAAAGCCTTTGGGAGGGCGCATTGCTTGCCATGGTCGTGGAAGTGGGCACGCTTTCCGGCGGGACGTGGCCGATGAATTTCATGCTCAAGGATGTCTGCCCTGAAGATCGTGTCAGAATTTGCGGCTTAGGTTTTTGCAGACTAGTTCCCTCAAAGCCTCTTAATTTCCAGCAGATCTTCAGGGGTGGGAGATTGAATTTGGATGCAGATGTCACCCTCCAAGCGCACTGCTCTCCTTTCGGGGTGGGGCTCAAGAGCCTTAAAGGCTGGGGTGATTCGATTTTGAGGGTTACAGCTGACATGGGGGGGGATTCCGAAATTAGGGGTACCTCATTGCAGTCTTTACTCTATGGCTTACTATTTGCGGATCTAATGTAGGGGTCCCCTATTTTCCTAAGTAAACCCCATGTTCCGCGGAGCTGTGGAGAGACTAGGGCTCATGGTAAGGGCGATGCCCAGTGTGAGGGCAAAAGCGGTCAGAGCAGAAGAGGCTGCAAGGTTCGGCAGCGTGTGCCGGCAAAGTTCAACAATAGAAGGAAGTAGTGAGTTGAGGGTTTAGGGTTTAGGGTTTAGGGGCCAACAGTGCCACTGATTTACACTTGATGGCTGCCCGGACCAAAAGCAGTTGATATTGCTTACTCAGCCGTCGACCGTCCCAACTGCAACACCCTGAGTCTTGAACATGAATGGCCATGATACAGCATGCCTGCCACTTGGGACCTCCTGTCAAGGCGGCAGCAGGACAGCTACAAATAGTTGCAATAAAATACTCACGCACCTGCGCGGCATCAGCCTACACCGCTTCTAGTGAACCCTTTACTTCGACACGCCTCGCTACAAAAAGAGGGCTGACATAGTGGCAGCAGCCACCCAACCTTGGAAGAGCAGCCTCAATGCCCTGTGCAGCAATGGCCCTGGCTTCCCCACAGGGTAGCATCGGAGCCCAACAGTACAGTGCGGTAGCGCAGGTACTTGGAGGTTCATGGTACTAGTTGACCAGATATAGCTGTACTCATAACAACCTACACCCTCAACCCTTTCAAACCCAGGACTGAGTCTCCGAAACCCTAAACCCTAAACCCTAAACCCTAAACCCTAAACCCCAAACCCTAACCCTAAACCCTAAACCCTAAATCCGAAACCCGAAACCCAACTGGTCGTTGAACATGTTTTCGGAGGCTGTTTTTTGGGGGCGACCTCCCGGTTCGAGCATACCCTAAACCCTAAACCCTAAACCCTGAACCCAAAACCCTAAACCCTAAACCCTATGCCCTACACCCTACACCCTAAACCCTAAACCCTGCACACAAGAACATGTTCCCAGGATCGGGGCTTCCTTGCCAGGGCAGCTGCTGCAAAGCTGCTGTACCAAATTAAAATTTATCGCACGAATTTAAGCTGCATCCTCCTAAACCCTAAACCCTAAACCCTAAACCCTAAGCCCTAAGCCCTAAACCCTAAACCCTAAACCCTAAACCCTAAACCCGAAACCCTAAACCCTAAACCCTACCTCTGCGGCCCAAGCCGTGCGGCCGGTCGCTCTGCATCGAAAAGCCTGTTACGGAGAGGATGGCAGCCTCATGACTGACTTTGCAAGCATGTATTTCTGAAAGCCGGCCTGGGGATTTCCTGGCTGGGGGTTTAGGGTTTAGGGTTTAGGGTTTAGGGTTTACTCGGCGCTATCTCTGAGTCTGAGCAACTGAGGGCGAGTGCACTGTGCACCAGCACATCAGCGGGACCATCCCCCAGCAGTACTGGAACTGCAGGGCGGCTTCAGGGTTTAGGGTTTCCTGCTTACACCACCCACCATTGGCAGCGCACACTAGCACTTGGTGGAAAACCTTGAGGCGCTACCTGGTTTAGGGTTTAGGGTTTAGGGTTCAGGGTTCAGGGGGAATTGGAGGTGTTTGCATTCAGGCTTGCGGCCGTTTAGACTCTGTAGGGCTTCAGAAGTCTTTCGCAGGACTCCGCAGTTGTGATGCTCACCGTGTCAAGGATGTGTTAAGGGCTACTAGCAGTCCTTAATAGGGAACATATAGCATCCCCTACATATGATAATCCCCATTAAGGATTGTTCGTATAAGGGGGAACATCACAAGTTTGCTGCTGCGTGATTGAATGGCTGTCTTATCAATGCCAGGCCGGCAGACGAGCAGCTTCATTGGGATAAGAGGTGTGCACAAGCCCGTTTATCAACGCAGGTGCCAGGAAAGCGAAAGAGGCACGTGCTAAGCCTGTTCATGCCATTCACTCAGTCAAACGCGTAAAGCAAAGCTAGGCTAAAGCAGAGAAGCTTGAATAGTTCAGGGTTTAGAGTTCAGCGTTTAGGGTGGCAGTTTGTGTACAATCCCTCCCTCTGCACATCGTGGGTACGTTGTGGGGTAACAGCTGTTGGACCTCAAGGGTGGAGCAGTTGGATGGGACCTCCCTACTCCCTGTCAGGACCCGGGCCTTACATGGCTTGACAGCTCAAGAGGCATCAAGAGCACGGTGCTTCACATCTAGTTCGGTCGCTGAGGCCCCCAAAGTTACCAGCTTGATGTTCCCTGGCCATGGTAGTACATGCGGAGCTATGGAACACGCTTTGCGGCGCCGGCGCTGTCATTTCGTAAATCGGGCTTGGTGAGAAGTAACGGTACAACATGAAGCCTGCTCGCAAAAGCCGCTGCAGGCCAACGGCTTTGCAAACGCCATGCACAGGATTTCTAGCTTCGATGCCGGTGCACCCCTCTCTGAATCAGCCTCCGGGTTTAGGGTTTAGGGTTTTGGGTTTAGGGTCAATGCCCTGAATGCCACCATCGCCCCGCCAGCCCAACGCCTATCAGCAGGCAGCGGGGACCAGCGATGGTGGCGCTGACGTCTGCGCAGCAAGCAGGCTTCAATGAAGCTGGCAAAAGCCACGCGGCAGGAGGCCATTTTGCGGTGAGAACACCGAGACCAAGTTATCCTACGTCTGTCAAGCCCCCAGAAATCCAGAGGTCCATAGAAAAACAACAACACATGGCAGTTGCGGAGACTCGGAATTGAGGTTTCGTGGGGAGGGGGCGAGGGGCCCTGCAGAATTTGCATGGGTTCCGTGGTGGTGCCCTCCTGCCCCTGGCGTGGGAACAAGGCCAACTTCTCAGTAAAAAACCATGTTCGGCGATGTGGAGGATCTCAGCAGTTGGCCACGTGTTGCATCCAGAGATGGAACGTATGAAGCCTTAGAAGCCTTTCTCTCTCAGCTGAGGTCCTCCTTGCGAAGTGTAGTCACCTAGGGCTGGATCTGGGTCGTTTGAGAGTGCTGAAGCACACTATCAAACAAATACTGGAGTTCTTGCTCATGTTGATGAAGGAAAACACGACACAAAAATCGCTTTTGTGCAGGCCAAGCCAAGATTTCAAAACGAAGAGTTCGTGCCGGCGCAACTCTAAGGCTTTTTTTGACAGTGTAACGACCTAGGGCATCTTTTTCGTGTGAATGGAATTCGCTAAAGGAGGCATGTTCTCAGGAACCATATTTACTTGTCTTCAAAAACCGCTCCATAACGTCCAGCAACTGTCGCAGCATCCTTGGTTCCTGATTTTGCCCAACGGGTGCCAGAGGGCTATCCGCAGTTTAGGGTTTAGGGTTTAGGGTTTCGGAACGGTTCGGAATGGGTTCAGGGGTTGCGTGTGGAGGTTTGCAAGGTCGGAGCGGTTCGGGACGTTTTCGACAGGGCACAAAGAGAACCTGCAAATAGTTCCCAGAGCCAAGTTCCTGCAACTAACAAACAGCCCACCAGGTAGCAAAGATCAAAACTCATGATCGCCCTGGATATTGGGCTTACCATCTCGCTCTTGTCTGCAAATTTCTATGGTCTGCGGGCACAAAGTAAACCCTTCAAAAGCTGACACGTGCTCTGATGCAGACTGGGCTCCCCGCCCCTCATTCACCGGGGCCGTGGCGTTATATCACAAGAACCCGCCGATTTGCCGAAGCACTCGCTGGGCGTTCCTCAGTTGCCGTGCCCTCATGCATTCTTGGCTATGTGGACAATTCATGCTGGTAGCAGTTGCCTATGAAATTATCTGAATTAAGGCCCTTTCCAAGGCAAGTCGGGATCATGGGTTCTCGTTTCGTCCTCTAAATAAGGGGAGGAGGGGAGGAGGGACATTCAAGAGAGCTTTATATTTCTACAACCTCCAAAACCTAAATTGCGAGTGTCACTGTGCCGTTGCGATTGCTTTGTCGCTTCCGTGCTTCCAGGTTCAGCCAGAGCCATTCATTTGGCTAACTGATTTTCGAAACGGCCTTTGATGATTTTGTACGACGGTCTGTTCTGATTTTTGCCGCGTGCGTGCCGCTTGCTCATGAGCGAATCTGGACGTGTTACCCAAGCGTAGACTCCCTGCAACGTGTGATGTGAAAGCACAATGAGGTGCTGTATCGTGCAACCGAGGCATCGGTGCATACTTTTGCTACGTGATTAACGACGTGGATTTGCCACTATGACGTCCCTGGCCGAACCATGACGCCCCCCTGCCCAGAGAGTCCATCCATCGTCCAGAAGATATGAACAATGACGAAACGTTCACGCTACCAGTGCATGCAGCAGCAAATCGATGGCCGAACCATGTACAAGAGCAGCTACGGCCGAACCATGATAAACGCCCATGCTACGCAACACCCATCTGCCAGAATCTAACCCTGCATGCACTACATCCAGGACGGAAACTTGACTATCATATAGGGGTCTCAGTAATTAGAATAGGCTTTTTGGGGGGGAAGGGTCTATTATAGTATAACTATAAAGGAACCATAAGGGAATACTACTAGTCATTATTCCGACCCCTATATTACGTCCATGCGATGAAAGCATCCATCGGCCAGAGCATCTCTCAGTGTTCGCTGTGAGCCGCCTTCCCCTCTGCCAGTGCCCAACCCTTGCTTTGGATACTTCCATAGCTATTCTGAAGAACCCGTTGCTTCATGTGTCGCATGCACGTGCCACGGCTGCCATGGCCACTGACTTGGGTCCTCGCGCGGCCGGGCGCTTTGCTGCATTGTTTTGGACAGTGGATTGGCATCCGAGGGGCCGACCCGACTCACGACTCGCTATACATGCCTGCTCGAACTGAACTCGAAATCACCAATGAATCCACCAGAATGCACGCACAATACTGTCTAACCCTAAACAAACCAAAAAAGCAAAGAAGCGCAACATCCCTGTTAAAAAAGAAACGACTTGTCAAACTCACAGAAGCCTTTCAGCTCACTGCACTGCGGCTGCATGTTGCCAACAAAGGTCCTCTTGCGTAGTGAACTTCCCAAAGAGACTCGATAATGGAGCTTCCATTCGCTACGCGTTGATGAAGCTGGATCATGCCCAAATTTAGGGTATGACTAGGTCTTAGGGGCAGCAAAACTGGCAAGTACACTGCTCAGAGCTGTTTTGCTACAGGTCGAGTGTCGGTGACATGTGTTCGAAACACGTCGGACTCAGACATACTAGTTCATCCATTTAGCTGCAGGACAAGCTTCATCCAGGCAAGCGGGTGTTGGCAGCCTCGGCTTTCTGCGCATTGGGGACATCCAAGCGCGGAACCCCAAACTTTCCAAGCATAAACATCCGACTTTCAATCAACTTGAACCGAAACCCAGGGTTTAGGGTTTGGGATTTAGGGCTTTTTTTCGCGTTTAGTAGGGTCCAACTTCTCAAACCTGCAGCAGCCTAGGCCAGGCGGCCACATGGGACTCGACCAGGCAGTCGCCGGGGGGGTACGCTCGGAGTCGGCGGTGGTCGCAGTCAGGGCCGGAGAGTACGTCCTGAGGCACAGTGGTTTTGGGGTTGGGGGTTTAGGGTTTAGGGTTTAGGGTTTAGGGTTTATAGCGTCGCAGGTTTGTAGGGCCATAGGGTATAGGCGCCGAAGCAAAGGGGGGTCCCCTTGATTCCGTCTCGAGCTGCAGAGTTTCATCAGGCGCCCCCGAGCTGGTGCAGTAGTACTGTCGGCAGCTAAACCCTAAACCCTGAACCGAAACCCTAAACCCTAAGCCCTAAACCCTCATCTCTCCTCTCGTTCTTAATCCTGGCTCCTGGCTTCAGGCGTTTGCGGGCTGGGGATCGTGGGACATCGCCAACTCCATGCCCGATGCAAACGAAGGTGCACAACTTTCTCTGGCGCCGGCTCAGGAGCAGCTGGGGGCCTCAGTGCTGGGAGGTTCCTGGTACTTAAGAAGCAAGTAAAACTAGACGTAGAACCCACTTATAAGCCCCTGAACTTTTGTTGGGTTATAAGTGCAATTACTCTTTGGTGAGTGCCATGAACCTCCAAGTAGGAGTTTTCGAGTGTCCTTACGGAGAAGTGGGGAGTATTACGGAAACTTTGGGTTACATAGCCTGTGAACCCTCCTCCTTTAAGGATCACTGACATACATACGTGGTCCGCGCAGGTCCTGCTCACAGCTTCGGCCGCTAGACTAGGAGGTACGGAGGGGCTCGGAAGAATGCGTGCCAGAATTATCAGAGCGCTCTGAGTCGATTGCTGGAGGACTGTGGCCTGCTGTCCGTCGCAGAAATGGCCTTCCGAACTGCCTTTAACAACATAAAGAGTACTTCACCAACTCGAACGTCAATCAACCTTGCTGCCATAAGTTGGCCATCACAAGCTCACACCCTTGCACTACCTGCTGAACTAATTAGACAGCATGTGGTTGTGAGCTGCAGTTCCAGAACCTTGCCTGAGACTGTGCAAACGCGCTTGCGGTCTTTTGTTTGTTTTTCCTCCTCGGGCGCTGTTACACATCCTTGGAAGAGACAAAACTATGTGCAGTCAATCAGCTGCCAAAGTTCGCTCTTATGCTTGCGGAATCTTGCGGACGCATCACTCTTCGCAGCTCTTTACTGCGGGCACCATGCGTTCAACGCGCACTCTAAAACTATATGCTCCCTTGAGTCGGGGCTGGGGGGGAGCAGCCGCACAGCAAAAGCATTTATTATTGAGATTCTATATATATATATATAAATATATGTGTATAACAATATATATATATATGTATATATATATAGATATATATATATATATTATCCACAAGTTCTTCAAGTGCACACGGCCTAGCTTAGCGAGAACTGATCGACAATGCACACAAGGGTCCATGACAAGGAAGCACACACACGTACTCTCCCTCAAAATTCGGCGGCATCCCACTGGGGGGGATGGAACTCACTCGGCTTTGAGCTTGTCCAAAAGTCCAACGATCTTGGCCCAACACGCCCCATCCTGCAGAGTTGAGCCCTCGTTCTGGTTTTGGTTGCCCCAGGGCGTTTTCAGGGCTTAGTCGCTCACACTCGGAAGAGCCAGGCGAGGCACGCACTGTCCCGGAGTCTCTCTGTGATCAGGGTTTAGGGTTTAGGGTTGATGTCCTTTTCCCTCTTATACAATGGAAGAGAGGCAGCCCTTTCCAGAAGGCTTCGGTATGCTTACAACTCCCGAAGGAAGTCGGGGCGTCGACACTAAGCCTGCACGTCCAACGAACACTTCTAAACCCTGAGCTGTGATTTGGGTTTAGGGCTTAGGGTTTAGGGTTTAAGGTTTAGGGTTTAGGGCTTAGGGTTTAGGGTTTAGGGTAGTTTCCGCGGGGTTTAAGCTGTTGTAGGTACTGAACTTCATCTGCGTTCCGAGCATGGAATCGCAACCTGAGACTCCCACGGAGCCTCGAACAGAAGCTATGTGCCCTAAAGATCCCGGGGACCTAACGTGGCGGACCAAGTTGACCGAGACACTAGCGGAAGTCGTGCCACTGGAAGTGTTGAATTGCTAAGAAGCCATATCGCAATCTTTAGTATGTTTATTGTCATGAGTACTACAAGAACAACTAATGCTACTACCATTGCTGTTGTTACGAACATGAGCTATAACGGGAACCCAGAACCAAAAACAGTATGAAAGCATAGTACTCCAAAAGCCCAGATCCCTAAAGGTATGAGGCCTGCAACGCGCCGGCTGAGGTGCAGGGCACATCCTCCATATGGCACGTGAAACCATCTGCGACCAGATCCTTCGGGGTTTAGGATTTCTTTTGGTTTTTGGTTTTTAGGGTTTAGCAACCTGCCTCCTCTCCTACAACAACTACTCCGAAATTCCTCGGCTCTCCTTGATTGGGGGCTGTACGGCCGGGGGTGGGGGTTCCCACTCACTGCGCCTCCTTTGCCCTCCGCTGCATCTTCAGGGGGGTGGCCACTGAAGTGCCCCTACAGGCACCTACGAGTACGTCCTCGCAAGCCAGAATTTGGAGTGACATCTCAGCCCACCCTAAACCCTAAACCCTAAACCCTAAACCCTAAACCCTAAACCCTAAACCCTAAACCCTTAAGTGCTTTTGAAGCCCTCAGACCCCAGGGGTGAGTTTCCCAAGCACTGCGCAGCATGCCGGGACATCGCCACCAAGCTGGCATAAGTTGGTAGGGGCGATACGCAGCCCTGCCCAGCTGGCGTAGTCTAAGGTGTACCCCAAACCCTAAACCCTAAACCCTAAACCCTAAACCCTCCTAAGCACCAATGTTTGCTGCCCCCGTCCTTCCACAGACCTGTTTGCTGGTCGTCGAAGTTCATGCATGAGTCGGCGTTGGAGGATGTGAGCGACTTCTTCAGCTCGAAGACCTTCGCGTGGTGTACCGTGATGTGGCAAAGAAACCCTTTAGGGTTTAGGGTTTAGGGTTTAGGGTTTAGGGTTTAGGGTTGTGGGGTTTACGAAAATAGGGGCCCCCAAATAGTGTAGGATTCCCTAATTTCGGAAAAAAACCCCGTGTGCCAGCAATCCCTCCAATCCCTCCACCCCACCCCCGACCCACCCGAGGCCTTGTTGGCCACCACTTGAGTGTACGGATCCTCTCCGTCTTTCACGCTCTTGACCAACTTGAACTCCTGTGGGCCAAAGGGAGCTGTGGGGCGTAGATTGCTTAGATTCTTAAGTAGTTCCTGCGTGGTAGGTCAAGAAGCCTACAGGTTCGGAATGACTGGAGGGCCCCACCCAATCCCTATGACAAGCACGCGGCCCACGAGGAGTTGGACGGACGGAGTTCAAAGTCCTGGCCAACGACAACCGGACCTCCTACAACTCAGGCTTTCGACCGTCTAAGCCAGGAAAGGGCCCAACCTCGTGCTAGCAGCATATGGTAACATGAAGAAGCGAATAAACACCCCAAACGTTCCCAAAGTTGATGCCGGGCGGTTGAGCTCGCAAGCTGCGAAGGGGGGGGGGGGTTTAGTAAGAGCAGTTCCCTAAACCCTAAGCCCTAAACCGCTACTCTCCTTCACCAGGTTGGGAATGAGCTCGCGCTGTAGAGCAACATCGCTCCTTTGGAACACGTCCTTTGTAGACAGAGCGCTGGATTGCGTCGCGTCTTGGGATACTTGGTGGTTTCCGAAATTTGGGTTTAGGGCTTAGGGCTTAGGGATCCGAGGTTAGGGGTGCCCTTTTTGGGGTCCGTATGATAAGGGAATCCTTCTGTTTGAAGGGTCTATCTTCGAAAGCCCCCATATTTCCAAAGCAGGCACAGGGATTGAAGTCTCGACATGTCTGGTACTAGAATTGTCGACATTTGTGGCATTGTATAGGCATACTCTGGAAATACAAGAAACACGTTCAGAACTCTGAGCCGTTGTGTCAACTGTCCATGATCTGTGCCTTTCCACTCTTCAAGCCAGGACCAACTTCTGAGGCCCTTTTCTTGCTGCAGCCTGATCCCCGAAACTCGACCATCAGAAAACCTAGATCACGAACAAAACCTTTCTCACGCCACAGATATATGGTCGCCTTTGGGCACTTGCCATTTCGTTCATGCAAGTGGCCCTGCCCTCACCATAAGCTCCAACATCTGAGACAGCACCAAACATCCCAACTCTCGTCACTCGCCTCTTGCATGCCAGGTTTCAATGGTGCTCTTTCTGAATGACTCGCTGGGGCCTTCCATCGATGTCTGACAGTTCAACTTCGTGTTGTACTCATCAAACCAACCTTGGCTGAGACTCTGCAGAAGAAAAGAGGCTGCTGGGCCCGGGACGCACCAAAGCCTACTGCGGCATGAGCCCTCGTGCACCCTGCCGCGACCATTGCTGAAGGTCCTGAAGGTCCTTGCTGTGACAACACGGCACGCTACGACCTGACCCCCCGAAATGGCCCCTTATAGGCGCAAAAGCTCACATCAGAAGGGGAGCTTTTGACGTTGTCCAAAGTGTAGGGGTACGGCACGTTCTTGTCCGCGCAGCCCTTGCAGTTCTCCTGGAACCTTGGGTTGGGGGGGCAAGGGTTTGACGGAAGGTGTGGATCGAGAACTTGAGTCGCGCCTGTGCCGGTGCTCATCGGGTTCAAGTTGTGAAGTTTGCTGGAAAGTCTGGGCAAAACGGAAGACAGGGGGCCTTCGTGATGTCATTCACGCACTTTGCTACGGCCTGGAATTTGTACCGCATGGCTTCACGGCTTGCGTGCCACAGGCGCTACTGACAACAAACCCGAAACGACCGGTACTGCTAAGCAGAGAGCGGGCCACTCCCCCAGCCCAAACCCGCGAAGCGGTCTCCTAGCCTTAAAGCAAGAAGACACAACCGTGAGGAAATCCCTTGGCCATCGGGTTCAGTGGCATCTTCTGGTACCTGTCCCAGTCCGCCTGGAGCAGGTTTCATGGGCCCGGGTTTAGGGTTTAGGGTTAGGGTTTAGGGCTTAGGGCTTAGGGCTTAGGGCTTAGGGCTTAGGGTTTAGGGTTTAGGGTTTAGGGTTTAGGGTTTAGGGTTTAGGGCTTAGGGCTTAGGGCTTAGGGTTTAGGGCCCATGTGCTGTGGGATGATAAGGTCATCGGAGTCGTGCGACCCAAAGCCCTCAATCCTGCAAAAGCCCTTTGAGTGGAACCGCCGTGCGCGTCAAACCCTGAAAGCAACACCACCCCATGTCAAAAGCTGACGATGCCATGGCCACAATTTAGCGCGTTTAGGGTTAGGGCTTAGGCTTCTGGATGTCGGTGTTAAGAAGGGGCAGAGATGGCGCCATCTTTGCAAAGGGGGGCAAGTCTAGAAACACGCCACGCGCAACCCGCAACTCCCGGGTGTGTAACGTCGGTCGGGCTCAGTCCGACACCATCAAGAATGTCGCAATGCGCTGTTGAAGCACGCAAAGGCCAGGCGAGTCAGTTGCTTGCAAAATGCTGCACGCCAC